TAATTATCTATTAATTACACCCCTCATAAAATACTGTGTTTGTAGACACAGTACGTGAGATGAATGGAGTAATAAAATATAAAATTTAAAATATGATTATACTTTTTGAAATGAGAATTTTTTTTTTTGGTATTATTTGACTTTGAGAATTTTTTAAATGAAAAATATTTGAAGGACACTACCCTCACGACATATCCAAATTCTATTCAATATATATATTTATTAAAATTTAATTAATATATATTAAAATAAAAATAAAAATTAAAATTAAATAGAGATTTATTACTTCTGCGCCCCCCAATACATATGTCTCACATATTATTTAGGGTTATCTCATCTTACCATCTTTTCATTTATAGTCTATGCAGTCTTTATTAAATTATCAATTTATTTTTATTTTTACTTTTATTTACAAAAAAATATCAACCCACACTATTCACATTAACTCCACTAAAATCAATGTAATATAGGGTTTGTTTATTTGGAAGATTTAAAATTAATTTTAATATTTTAATTCTTTAAAAAAATATTAAATTAAATATCTATTTTTATTTATTATATTATACTAAAATTTAATTTTACATTCAATACATCATATCAATACATATTTATATCACATTAAACAACTATTTTACTTCAAAATTTTACTATTCAAAACCAAAATCTTAACTTAAACATACTCTACCATTTTCATCTTAAATAAATTCAGTAAGTATAATACTCACTCCGTCCCAATACAATAATTTTGTTTACAATTTTTGTCCGTCTCAAAACAATAGTCTCATTTCCATAAATAATCATATAACTATAAAACTACCTTTATTTTTTTATTATTATTACACAATTGCCACTACTTTTTACACTAATACACTCACAAGAGCAAAAATGTCTTTTACCCGTACTTTTTACCCACTACCAATATAATATTTCCTAAATTCCGTGTCAAACATAACCCAGACTATAGTTTTGAGACGGAATAAGTACTATTTTTTTTTTTTTTTATGACGTAAGAACCCGCAGCCGCTACCCGAAAATGCGCACCGGATAAACTTCCAGCCGGGAAGTAACATTTATATCATTGTTTAAATGTTAACTTTTTTAAATGAAAATTTTATTTTATTTTTTTTTAAAAAAAACCAAATTATTATAATAATATACCAAATAAAACGTGGTTACTAGTTAGCCATAGTATCATGCAAAATGGCAGAATTTTTACGCAATAACAACATGCAGCATAGCATGTGATTCTGCATCGACATCATAACTAATTAATGCATTATCTCAAATTCAACTCACACATATACTCCCATAATATATATATTATGTTTACGTATATTTTTTTAGAAGCTTTGATATTAATTATTAATTATGAAAAGTAGATAAAAAGTAATCACTCTTAGTCTGTCCGACTCTAAAGATCATAATTATTTTTTGCGTATTATTTTTTTAAATATTATTAATTATTATATAAAAATATAATATAAATCAATAAAAATAAGTCAAAATAATTCTATTAGTATCTTATAATACTAATATAATGATATTTGTACAAAAATAAATTATATAAACATAAGAATATTTTTAAATATTAAATATAATGACTTAAAAAATAAATGTAACATTTAGAAACGGATGGAGAAAGTATATATATATTTGTGACAAATAACCAAATAAAATAAAAATAAATAATTTTCTCTCAAACTAAAACTAGGAGTGTGTATTTATATTTATATACTTCATCCATCCGTCCCACAGTCCCTATTTTTTATTTTTGTTTGTTTCGTATATTTGTCTTTTTTTTTAAAAAAAATATGATTATACACTTTAATCATATTTTAAATTTCATAATTTATAATTTTTTTAAATCTTAATTATACTATTTAGTTATTTTAATTTTAATATATAATTAATTTTATTATATAATAATTATTTTTACTAATATACTTTTTAATTACTTATTAATTATACTTTACATAAATTTTTGAATCTACAATAATAGTCCCAAATTACATCGAGCCAGGGAGTATTTTACACTTAATATATATATATATATATAATTCTATTGTATTTATGAGTGTGAAGCTAAAAGTGCTTTGAGCTTATTCTTCAGTGCCCCCCGCCATGTGGAAATTAAGATTCTCCGACGAGGAAGACGACGGCCACCGGCAATGGCTGACCACCACCAACCGCCACGCCGGAAGGCAATTCTGGGAATTCGACCCAACGCCGCCCACTCCCCGCCACAACGCCGCCGTCGAGCAGGCCCGCCGGAGCTTCCAGGCCAGCTGCCATAGCATCCGTCAGAGCTCCGACCTCCTCATGAGGATACAGGTCGTATTTGATTTCAATTTTTTTACTTATACAATAATTGTAATTTCTAATAATAAAAATAAATATTTTTTTATTCATTAAAAATCGATTATTCATTAATAATGTGGTTTAAGCATATGAATACTAGTAAGTTAGGGCTACTCGCTCGGACCATATAATTACCAACTCAAAAATTTTGATCATGATTGTAGATTCAGGTTTGAGTTTAATTTATTCCGATATAATATATATATATATATATTTTAACATACTCCATTCGTGTGCCTCTAAAGGTTACATTTACGTCATTGTATTTAACATTAAAATATTTTTATATTTGTATAATTTTTTATACAAATGTCGTATTATAAGACACTAATGAAAGTATTTTTGCAATTTTTTCTTAATTTGTATTGCGTTTTGATATAATAATTATTATTCAAATATCAACACACAAAAAATAAATGAGACCCCGAGAGCGGAACGGATGTAGTATTGTTTTTTTCATAGGACTAAACTATACAAGAACATGTGACTATATTTATCTATATAAGAGCTTTTGCTATTCTTTTTAATTAATTTCAAATGTTTCAAAAATTTTCTCGTTTTTCTCTAGTTACTCAATAATTTTTCTTTTTTATACTTATCTGCCACAATTTTTTTCATTCATTTTAAAAAAGAGTAATAACAAAATGATAAAACTGTCAAAATTACGTGTGTTATGTTTTTCAACAAAAAATACATAAATATTTTATATTTTTTACACAATTTCTCATAATTTACATAAAAAAAAATATTATACAAATTATTTCACAAAACAAATACATCACTAACCATTGAAAAAATCTTCTAATTTTTTTCTTTTAAAACCAAAAGTAAAATGAAGAAAGTATTAATATATGTGTGTCTTGCAGTTTTCCGGTGGAGATGAGATTTTCCGACACGGTGGCCGGAGTTACGACGGCGACGGCGACGGCCACATCGAGGAAAGAGTGGTGGATGTGTTGAGAAAGGGGATGAAATTCTACTCAAGTCTACAAGCTGAGGATGGACATTGGCCTGGTGACTATGGTGGTCCTCTTTTTCTCCTCCCAGGCCTGGTAACATTACAAACACATTTTCATATATATATATATATATATATATATTTTTTTTTTAAGCTTGGGGAGATGATAATTGAAACCTTCATAGCAATGGGTCCAAGTAGAGTGGAGATCCGACCCAGATTCATTTATTTATTTGATATCGGGTCAAACCGGATTGAGTATTATCTTTCCTCAGTCTGGTGATAAACTTTGCATTTGACTTTTACATACAAATTAAGAAAAACTAGTATTTTATAAATATGTAATTTAATAAAGTAATGTAATATTCAAATTGTTTTTGAAAAGTAACGTAAAAAAAAAAAAAAAAAGTAAAAAATAAAGACATTTTAGATTGTTACTTTTTTTTTAAAAGAAAATAAAAAATGAGAAGTTTTAATAGTTTAGTAGGAGACGAATGAAGTATATTATATTTGAGTTCGGAATTTAGAGGTGAACCCAATCCAGATTGGATATTATATATTCAAATTCATCGGTCACAAAATGACATTTATTTTTTTTTACATGACTAGTTAAAAACTTAAAATTACATTCAATAGCTAAGACATCTATATGTCCCAGATAATAACATTGTTTATAATGGATGCGCTAAGCTCAACACTGACGGAGGAGCATCGCCAAGAAATACGCCGATACCTTTACAACCATCAGGTATTAAATCACATTATGTTTCTAGAAAGCATACATATTTTTATGTCCAATGATTCATCGATTTTCAATCGATGAGTCTATAGAACGAAGACGGCGGATGGGGCTTGCACATCGAGGGACATAGCACCATGTTCGGCACCGTGCTCAATTACGTCACCCTAAGGCTTCTAGGCGATGGACCGGGAGATGAGGTCGTGAAACGAGCAAGAGCATGGATTCTTGATCACGGTGGCGCTACCTACATTCCCTCCTGGGGAAAATGCTGGCTCTCTGTTCGTATCTAGTTTTTTTGTTGCTCGTGCGTTATGTCTTTGTTGATTTATCGACTATGTTGTCTGAAACAAATTTTTTTCCCCGTAAGTATAGGTGCTCGGCGTGTATGAATGGGACGGGAATAATCCTTTGCCTCCGGAGTTGTGGCTCCTCCCTTATTCGCTTCCTATTCATCCGGGTGCACTTTCGTTTACTCGATCATTTGCAAAACTTCTTGTAATAACTTTATACGGTTCTACTATATGTAGGTTTGTTTGGTGGTTTGGATTTTGAACTGAGATTTTAATAGTAACAATTTTGAATTTGAATAGTTTTATAATGTGATATAAAAAGGTATTTCTGTAATGTTTTGAATGTAAAATTGATTTTTAGTATAATATAAAAATAAAAAAATAGTCGTTTGATTTGATATTTTTGAAGAAATTTTTTTTTATGAATAGTAAAATTTGAAGAGAATCTTCCAAAACACACCCTATATTTATCTTGTGTGACGATACGATTGTAGGCCGTATGTGGTGCCATTGCCGGCTCGTGTACCTCCCGATGTCGTATTTATACGGTAAGAGATTCGTAGGCCCTATCAATGCCACTGTACACTCTCTCCGTAAAGAGATCTATACTCAGCCTTACCATCAAATCGATTGGGACTCGGCAAGAATTCGATGCTCCAAGGTACGTTTGTTTATAAATAGAACTCAACTCTGTTTTGAAAAAATGGTGAGATATTAGTCGGGTCGACGTACAGGAGGACTTATACTACCCACATTCGCGCTTACAAGACATCCTATGGAAATGTCTGCACGGATTCGTCGAACCTCTTTTCAAGCGATGGCCATTCTCGAAGGTAAGAGATCGAGCTCTAGGCATGGTGATGGACCATATCCGGTACGAGGATGTCAACACGAACTACCTTTGCCTCGGACCCGTAAACAAGGTAATATTACTTCGTCGAGCTTTTTCTTTCCTTACGAGGTTAACACGGGTTCTCTTACAAGGTACTCAACATGCTCTGTTGCTGGATCCACGAACCGAACTCCACATCCGTGACGCGACACCTTTCGAGAATAAAGGACTATTTATGGCTGGCCGAAGACGGCATGAAGATGCAATCATATAACGGGAGTCAGCTGTGGGACGTCGTTTTCACTGTCCCGGCAATGCTCGCTACTAAACTGCAGAACGAATATGGTCCGACGATCGAACGGGCTCATAACTTCATCAAAAGATCACAAGTGAGTCCAACCATTCAATACTGACGCGTTTATTAAACTTGGTTCTTACGCTTAACGTACCGTGTTTCGACTATGAAGATTGGAAAAGACAGTTCCGGGAACCCGAGCTCTTGGTATCGCCATAGATCGAAAGGCGGATGGTCGTTTTCGACTGCAGATCAAGGATGGGTTGTTTCCGACTGTACGGCAGAAGGTCTAAAGGCAGCACTTCTTCTGTCGCAATTGCCGTCGGGGATTGCAGGAGAAGCAATAGCACTAGATAGGCTACACGACGCAGTCGACTTGCTTCTGTCGTTTCAGGTAACGATCGAACGTTACATTCATTTCCAAAAAAAGCCTCGACGGGACATCGTCATTTTTATCTGTCGCAGAATAGCGGCGGAGGATTTGCATCGTACGAGCTCACGAGATCCTACGCCTGGTTGGAGGTAAACGAATCGAAACAAATCATTATACCGGTGATCAAACTATTGATGAGATCTATTCGAATGAATCCATCTGATAGATGATTAATCCCGCGGAGATCTTCGGGGATATAATGATCGACTACCCGTACGTCGAGTGCACGTCGGCAGCCATTCAGGGACTGATTCTATTCAACAAGCTGCATCCCGGCTATCGCGCGGACGCCATCGTGGCGTGCATCGAGAACGCCGTCAAATTCATCGAAAACATTCAATTATCCGACGGCTCATGGTAATACAACAAATCCTGCACAAACATACCGAACTCATTACAATTCAATCTTATGATACTATGCTGTTCATCGAAAAACAATGGCTAGGTACGGATCGTGGGGCGTGTGCTACACCTACGGGACATGGTTCGGGATAAAAGGGCTGATCGCAGGCGGGAAGACGTATGAAAACAGCTCCCATGTGCGAAAAGCGTGCGAGTTTCTTTTATCTAAGCAACTCCATGGCGGGGGATGGGGCGAGAGCTATCTATCGAGTCACGATAAGGTAAAAATTTATTTTCGACACTTGAATTTGCTGCTGATCAGCTCCAAAAAAATGATTCGTTTCATGGCAATAGGTGTACACAAATTTGCCGAATGACAAAGCTCATGTGGTGCACACCGGATGGGCGTTGTTGGCGCTCATCGAAGCAGGGCAAGTAAGTGTCTTCATATTTGTTTTCCAAACCATTTGGTTCAACATTAAAATTAAAAATAAATTAATTTGTTTAGTCCGTAATGAACCCATATTATCATTTTAGTCATAACTTGAGCTTGTATAAATCTAGTCCCGTAAATGAAATTTTTTTGCACTTTTAGTCATCCAGCGCCGGAGACGCCTACGTAACACTCACGTTGCTCGCCGGAAGACACGTATCGGACCAAATCAACGATAAAATAAAAATTTTTAAAAAAATAAAAATCTAGATGTCCTTAAGGTGTGGCTGACCTTGTGGACAAGTGTGCTCCGGCAAGTCACATGAGCGCCAGGTAGCATCTCCGATACCGGAGAACTAAAATTGCAAAATATTTTTACTACTAGTCGGCGACAAACTTCAGTTACGAAATTAAAATGATAAAATGTACTAAAGAATTAAAAGTTGATCTAGGAATCATTCACTAAAAGGGTGTGTTTGTTCGGGGGTTTGGATTTTGAGTTAGGTTGTACGATGAGATATAAATAGGTGTTGATGTGATGTTTTGAATGTAAAATTGATTTTTAATATAATATAAAAAATAAAAAATAGATATTTAATTTGATATTTTTGAGGGAAAAAAATTGGATGAATAGTGTAAATTCAATCCAATCCTCCAAACAAACACACCCTAAAGTATCTTATTTGATTTAATTTCAAAACATTCCATTCAAGCATTTGCAATTCTCTATGAACATTTTAAACCACAAACAAACCCTAAGTTCTGAGGCACAGAAACACATAATAAAACATGAGCAACAGATTGAATCATTTTCTCATATTTTCGATCGAGCAGGCAGAGAGGGACACAAATCCGTTGCACCATGCTGCTAAAGTGCTAATCGATGCTCAAATGGAGAACGGAGATTTTCCACAACAGGTGAGAGAAAATCCCCAATCCAATTGAGGAAACTATCAACATAAGAATGAATCGAATATTCAATAATAGCAAAACACTTAAGATCAATGAAATTCACATCCAGATTTGAAATTGAAGCATTAAACTCACCAAAATGATCTCGATTTGAGTGGTTTTGGCTGGTTCTTGCAGGAAATCGTTGGCGTGTCCAACAATAGCCTCATGATCAGCTACTCCGCTTACAGAAACATTTTCTCGATTTGGGCGCTCGGTGAATATCTGAACAAAGTGTTGCGAGGCTGAGTGAACAGAAGCTTAAACAGAGGAATTATCCTAATTCAATTCAAGTAATTGAAGGAAGATAGGCGATGATAGTACTGTGCGGGTGTCTTTTACATATCGAAAAATTTGATGTAAAACTTATGTATTTTTAATAATTTGCTCCCCATGTTTCTTAGTTATTATTATTATTATTATTATTTTTGGTGTAAAAATTAAAAAATTATACTATTTTCGTCCGATTCTAAGGTCTTATTTACTATTACTTTTTAGATATTTGAATATTAATTATTATATCAAAATATAGTACAAATTAAAATAAAATTGCAAAAATATTTTTATTGGTGTCTTATAATACTAATAGATAGACATTTGTAAAAAAAAAAAAAAGATAAAAAAATTATACAAATATAAAGATATTTTTAATGTTAATACAATATCGCAAAAGATAAATGTGACCTTAGAAACGGATAGAAAGAATATAGTTTTATTCATTTGTTTTTTTAAATATTTTTTTTAGTATAAATAATTATAAATTAAGATCGATATGTGTAATTAAAATTAAAAAAAAAATAATTAAAATTTTTTAAATAAAATTAAAATGTATAATCATTTTTCTTCCTATGAGATTTGGGACGGACATAAACTGTGGAGATGATAGGTACGACGGAAAGAATATATAATTATGTTAAAATTTCCAGTTTCAAAAATATTATTTTGCCTCCTTTTTTTTATTTTTTTATTTTTTTTATCCGAGTGTACCAAAGGAAATAAAAATATATACTACCTCCCTTCATCACTAATCTATCCATTTGCATTTGACATCATTGTTTTAACATTAAAAATATCTTTATATTTATATAATTTTTTGTACAAATTTTATTTCATTAGTACTATAAGATACCAATAGAAATATTTTTGTTATTTTTTTTAATTTATACTATATTTTAATATAATAATTAATATTTAAATATTATATACAAAAAATAAATGAATAGATTGACAGTAGACGGATGCAGTATATCAAAATGATAAAAGTAAATCCACATTTTGCCCCCCTCCAATTTTGTCGTCTAGTTCGGCTATTGCATATACGACTCTCTTGGATGTATTAAGTATGATATAACGTGTGAGATTAGCAAATAAGTGATTTCTATATCTCATTAAGTATTACTCAAAACCTATTTGATTTATAGGAAATTTAAAATTTTCTAACATTATTACCTTTTAACCATATTACACTATTTATAGAATTTAAAATATTTAAAACATTGTTAGTATTTTTACCCATATTTCCAACAATAGTATCATGCAAATTGATTTATTTTCACGCAATAATCTTGCAGTTTTATACTTCTTCCGTTCCGGTGCAAGGTTGCCGTTTTTTTTTTCACGTAAATTTTTTAATATTAGTATTATAATGGGTTATAGTGAAAAAGACGAAAATACTCCTATTAGTATTATGTAATATAAAAGTAATGACATTTGTGTAATATAGTATTAGTTTTAAGAACATTTATTATGTTAGGTAGTACAATTACTAAATTAGAAAATTATAACATTGTTTTGAAACGGACGAAAGTAGAAAATAGTAACCATTGACGGAGAGAGTATATTAATTTCCATTTATATATATACTTTTTTCTTTTATTTGAATTTGATTTCTCATTAAAGTTTTAGTTTAAATATTATTTTAATGTGATATTTTGTAAATAAAAATAATAATATTCTCTTTGTCCTATCTTAATTAATATTTTTTTATTTTTCACCCCATTTTACTGTAAATACGAGAATTTAAGAAGATAAAATTAGTAAATAATTAAGAATGTATCAATAAATATAATTATCGTATAATAAGAATAATTATATATTAAGATAATTAATTAGTTTAATTAAAATTAAATTATAAATTAAAACAATTTAAATGAGATTGGAGTAAATAATTTTTTTCCAAAAAATTTGAAAGTGAAAAATAAGTGGAGGATACTAAAATAAAAAATTGACACAATAAGTAAGACAATGGAAATACTTTTTATATATCTTATTGTTATTATAAAATAATTTTATTTTTTTTTAAGGCGGCGATGACGGTGCAGAATCTCAAATTCAGTACTATGCTCCACATAGATAAGTTAGTGACAGTACATTATTTATATTCATAAAATACAAACACAACATATAAACTAACACACAAATAGATAGCAAACAGTACACGGTAATGTTAATAACAGCACATTATTTATATTTATATAATACAAACACAACACATGAACTAACAATACATGATATAGTTTCATTCAACACACACAACAATTTATTTCAGCACATGACATACACTTGTACAACATTCGTGTAATCATAAACAAACAACAAATGTCATTAATACAAATAACACATGTTGTTTTCAATAAAGACTTGTGTTGTTTTGTATATTATGGGTACCGTAACGTTTTCCTAACTTTTAATATTTATATTTAAATAAAATGACATAACTATTTTGTATATAAAGTCTACTCCCTCCGTCCCGCAATAAGAACATCTTTTATTTTTTGCACGTAGATTTTTAAATGTTAGTATTATATTATTTTGTAGTGAAAAGGATAAAAATGCCCCTATTACTACGGTATGTTATAAAAGTGATATCATTTGTGTAATATATTGTAAGTTATAAGGGTATTTATTATATTAGGTAGATAGTATATTTACTAAATTAAAAAATGGTACATTTGTTTTGGGACGAACAAAAATAAAAAATAATATCCTTATTATGAAACGAAAAGAGTATTTTATTTTATTTTTTTATATTAAAAAATAACAATAAAAAAATCAAAATCAAAATGAAAAGAACATAATCGTATTCTCTCTCAGATAGTTTCCTATAAAGAGTGTAAAACTGGAAGTCGTGTTTGAGTTTCTTCAGTGCCCCCCGCCATGTGGAAATTGAAATTCTCCGACGACGAAGACGACGGCCACCGCCAATGGCTGACCACCGCCAACGGCCACGCCGGAAGACAGTTCTGGGAATTCGACCCGACGCCGCCCACTCCCCGCCACAACGCCGCCGTCGACCAGGCCCGCCGGAGCTTTCAGGCCAGCAGCCATAGCATCCGTCAGAGCTCCGATCTCCTCATGAGGATACAGGTCGCGTTAAAAATGGTCGTATATAATTGAAAACAAAAAATATTTATTTCATAGAATATTAAATCATAATATTATTTTAATTAAACTTAAAATTTAAACTAATTAATTTATTTGGTTTTGATTTGAAATTAAATATTTAATTTGAATTTTAGTTTAAATAGTATTTTGATATGATTTTGTAAATTAAAATAATTATTCATTTGTCAATTTTTTCTCACTTTTTTTTGTCATTTAAATTGATTCCATTACTAATTTTGGCAAAGTAAAAAATTCAATATTTAACTATTAATTTTCATTTAATATTTATATAAAGTATTATCATTAATATACACTATTTATATTTTTTTTCTTCATTTTCTATAATTTTTTATAAATATAATTAATTATTTTTATACATTGATCACTTTTCTAATAAAAATATTATTTTTCTTTCTTAATTAGTAAGTATATAATACTTCATAAGTCTCACTTTTATGTCCGATTTATTATAGATACAAGAAATGTAAAATATAATTAATAAATGATTAAAAAGTGTATTACATAATATAATTATTGTATTATAAAATTAATTAGAAATTAAAATTAAGGTAACTAAATTGTATAATTAAGATTAAAAAATTATAATTATAAAATTTAAAATGCAATTAAAGTGTATAATTATATTTTTTAAAGAGTAAGTGACAGATAAAATAGAATAGACGAAAATAAAAATAATGGACGAAAAAAGTGGGACGGAGAGAGTATATTTTTATTGAGAATTGTTTGGATTAAATATGAGTGTGTTTCGTTTGATTAGTTTAAAAAAATATTTGATTGAGTTTGGTATTAAAGTATTGTTTGATGGAATATTTACAAGAAAAAAAAGTATTATTTTTTTTCGAAAAATACAGAGATCAAATAGTAAAAAATTAAAAAATTTGAGGTAAAAAAACACGTCTGTATTGTAGTTTGCCCAAGACGACGGCATTTTCCGACGCCATGGTCGGAGTTATGACAGCGACGGAAATAGCGACGAGGACGTGGAGAAAAGAGTAGCAAATGTGTTGAGAAAAGGGATGAAATTCTACTCAAGTCTCCAGGCTGACGATGGACATTGGCCTGGGGACTATGGCGGCCCTCTTTTTCTCCTCCCAGGCTTGGTAATATAGACTTGTTTTATCCACTAATTTATATATTTTTTATTATTTAATTATGTGATTATTTAATGGACATAAATTTTAATAAAAATAAATAAAAATAGAAATATTTTTTTAGGATAAAATAATTAGAACAATTGCTATTTTTTCAATAAAAAATATGAAAATAAATTTAGACGACAATCGAAAAGAAAAAATGAGAATAAATTTAAATAACAGATAAAGTATATAGGGATAAAACATATGGATAACATACATATTTCATTCGTTCATTTTTTAAATGGGTCTTTTGGAATTTTGTAATAACTAGTATTTAATTGGTTAGTGAAAGCGAGTAAAAATTTCCGACATTTTTGTCATTTAATTTTATGTATAAAATAACTGTATGTGTAATAGTATGTTTGTAATTTAAATAAAAATTAAAGGTATTTTGTAATTAATGTATGATTACTTAACCTAAAATAGAAAATATATACTTTGAAGTGGTACAAACGAAAATGATAAAAAAATACTTTAAATATATAGTCTTGGGGAGCTCTCCTTTAGCATTGACGTGTATACGTATTCATGCATTGTAGATAATAGCGTTGTTTCTAATGAATGCTCTAAGCTCAGCCTTACCGGAGGAGCATCGTCGGGAGATACGCCGCTACCTCTACAACCATCAGGTATTAAAAGTAGAGCAAACATCATATTTTGTCTCATTCAATATCATAATTATCAATTTTGGTCTCATTCAAAACTTTTTATTAATTTTGGTCTCACTCAAATGAAAATTTATCAATTTTAGTCCTAAGATGGGTGATTGAGACTGAACACGGCCGCGTTGGATGAGTCAGAAAGGTGACTGGCATCCCAGGCAGCCAACACGGCCGTGTTGATTACCCTGCATTTCTGAACACGGTCGTGTTCCTGCCCATATTTTGAACATAGCTATATTTCTGCTCATGTTCTCAACACAACCATGTTCTAGGCCATGTTCATGCCCATGTTCTCAACACAGCCATGTTTCCGACCTTGTTCTCAACACAGTCATGTTTTAAGTCATATTCACGACCATGTTTTCAATATAATCATATTGTAAGTCATATTTATTATTATTTTCACTTCTTTGTTAAAATTATTTGATATATATTTATAATTCAACAAAAATATTTTTTACAATTATTTCATAAAATAAAAAATAATCAATTTTTAATATTTTAAAAAATAATTGCAAAAGTATATATAAAAATAATAATATATTAATATATATTTTTAATAATTATCATTATATATATTTTTAAAAACTTATAGTAAAAATTTTAAAATATTATTTTAAATTAATTATTTCTATAAATTATAAATTATAAATTAAAATTATTATTCAAAATAATATTGTTAAAAATATATATCAATATATTATTTTTTGTTGAATTATAAATATATATAGATCAAATAATTTTAACAAAAATGTGAAAATAATAATAAGTATGATCTACAATATTATTATATTGAAAACATGGTCGTGAACATAGCCTAAAATATGGCTGTGTTGAGAACGGGGTCGTGAACATGGCCTAAAATATGGCTGTATTGAGAACATGAGCAGGAACATGGCCTAGACAATAGTTGTGTTGAGAATTTGGGCAGAACATGGTTGCGTTCAGAATACGGGCAGAAACACGGCTGTGTTCAGAAGTGCAGGGTAATCAACATGGCCGTGTTGGCTGCCTGGGACGTCCAGTCACCTTTCTGACTCATCCAACACGGTTGTGTTCAGTTTAAGTCACCCATCTTGGAACTAAAATTGATAAATTTTCATTTGAGTTGGATTAAAATTGATAAAAAATTTTGAATAAGACCAAAATTGATAATTATAATATTGAATGGGACCAAAAATAATTTTTACTCTTAAAAGTACTTCCATGTCCCGTGATCCGTCGATCGATTTTTAAACGCGATTCTATATCTATACATAGAACGAAGACGGTGGATGGGGCTTGCACATCGAGGGACATAGCATCATGTTCGCCACCGTGCTCAATTATGTCATACTAAGACTTCTAGGCGATGAACCGGGAGATGAAGTTATGATCCGAGCAAGATCATGGATTCTGGATCACGGAGGCGCTACCTATATTCCCTCGTGGGGAAAATATTGGCTCTCGGTTCGTCTATATATATATCATGATAGAGTTAGCCATAAAATTCTAGGGGGGCAAAATATCGAATTTTTTATTGATTCAATGTTGTCTTTTTTTTTATTATTATTCTCGGCATAGCCAGGTAAAAGAAATAGAACAAATTAAATTTTTTAGAAAAAATTTCAACAAAATTGCATAAAATTTAATAATTTTTTACAATTAAAAAAAAAAATAAAGGTTAAAAGTGTAAATATGGGCAAAATTTATATGATTTTTTACACAATAAAATTTTTTTAAAAAAATTAGGGGGATAAATTAATATAAAATACATATATTTTGGGGTTGGGGTCGGTTGCCACCCTTAGCATGTATTTAGGTTCCGGCTGTATATATATTGTCGTCACTAATTCCTTGTATCCCTGCTGATCTATCTCAAACATGTTGTTTGAAAGGATGTAGTTTCCGTGTAAGTATAGGTGCTCGGCGTGTATGAATGGGACGGGAATAATCCTTTGCCTCCGGAGTTGTGGCTCCTCCCTTATTCGCTTCCTATTCATCCGGGTGCACTTTCGTTTACTCGATCTTTTGCAAAACTTTTTGTAATAACTTTATACAATTCTACTATACGTAGGTTTGTTTGGTGGTTTGAATTTTGAACTGAGATTTTTAATAGTAAAAATTTTTGAATTTAAATAATTCTATAATGTGATATAAATAGGTATTTTTGTGATTTTTTGAACGTAAAATTGATTTTTAGTATAATATAAAAATAAAAAGTAGTCGTTTGATTTGATATTTTTGAAGAAACTTTTTTTTTTTTATGAATAGTAAAATTTAAAGAGAATCTTCCAAAACACACTATATTTATCTTGTGTGACAATACGATTGTAGGCCGTATGTGGTGCCATTGCCGGCTCGTGTACCTCCCGATGTCGTATTTATACGGTAAGAGATTCGTAGGCCCGATCAATGCCACCGTACACTCTCTCCGTAAAGAGATCTATACTCAGCCTTACCATCAAATCGATTGGGACTCGGCAAGAATTCAATGCTCCAAGGTACGTTTGTTTATAAATAGAACTCAACTCTGTTTTGAAAAAATGGTGAGATATTAGTCGGGTCGACGTACAGGAGGACTTATACTACCCACATTCGCGCTTACAAGACATCCTATGGAAATGTCTGCACGGATTCGTCGAACCTCTTTTCAAGCGATGGCCATTCTCGAAGGTAAGAGATCGAGCTCTAGGCATGGTGATGGACCATATCCGGTACGAGGATGTCAACACGAACTACCTTTGCCTCGGACCCGTAAACAAGGTAATATTACTTCGTCGAGCTTTTTCTTTCCTTACGAGGTTAACACGGGTTCTCTTACAAGGTACTCAACATGCTCTGTTGCTGGATCCACGAACCGAACTCCACATCCGTGACGCGACACCTTTCGAGAATAAAGGACTATTTATGGCTGGCCGAAGACGGCATGAAGATGCAATTATATAACGGGAGTCAGCTGTGGGACGTCGTTTTCACTGTCCCGGCAATGCTCGCTACTAAACTGCAGAACGAATACGGTCCGACAATCGAACGGGCTCATAACTTCATCAAAAGATCACAAGTGAGTCCAACCATTCAATACCGACGCGTTTATTAAACTTGGTTCTTACGCTTAACGTACCGTGTTTCGACTATGAAGATTGGAAAAGACAGTTCCGGGAACCCGAGCTCTTGGTATCGCCATAGATCGAAAGGCGGATGGTCGTTTTCGACTGCAGATCAAGGATGGGTTGTTTCCGACTGTACGGCAGAAGGTCTAAAGGCAGCACTTCTTCTGTCGCAATTACCGTCTGAGGTTGTAGGAGAAGCACTAGCGCCGGATAGGCTGCACGACGCAGTCGACTTGCTTCTATCGTTTCAGGTAACAATCGAATCTTACGTTCATTTTCTCCGACAGCCTCAACGGGACATCATCCTTTTTTATTTGTCGTAGAATAGCAGCGGAGGATTCGCATCGTACGAGCTCACAAGATCCTACGCCTGGTTGGAGGTAAACCACATAAATCAAAACTATATAAAACAAGCTCTTCGACTGATGAGAATTCGAATGAATCCATCAACAGATGATCAATCCTTCGGAGATGTTCACAGACATCATGATCGACTACCAGAACGTCGAGTGCACGTCCTCAGCCATTCAGGGCCTGAGTCTATTCAACAAGTTGCATCCCGGATATCGCGCAGAGGACATTCTAGCCTGCATCAAGAACGCCGTCAAATTCATCGAAAGCATTCAGTTAATTGACGGCTCATGGTACGCTAGAAATCCTGCTCGAACATACAATCCAATCTTATGATACTATGTTCTTGATGGAAAACTATGGCTAGGTACGGATCATGGGGCGTTTGCTACACCTACGGGACATGGTTCGGGATAAAAGGGCTGATAGCAGGCGGGAAGATGTATGAAAACAGCTTCCACATGCGAAAAGCGTGCGAGTTTCTCTTATCCAAGCAACTCCCCGACGGGGGATGGGGCGAGAGCTTCCTCTCAAGCCAAGATAAGGTAAACAACAATTTTCGACACTCGAATCTATTGTCAACTCACAACAATGATTCATTTCATGGCAATAGGTGTACACAAACTTGCCAAACTGCAAACCTCACATTGTGCAAACTGGATGGGCAATGTTGGCGCTTATCGAAGCAGGGCAAGTAAGTGTGTTCATAAATTTTTTTCAAGATCATTTGGTTTAACATTAAAATTAAAAGTTCATCTAGAAATCATTCACTAAACACATATTTGATTTGATTTTCAAACTTTCGATTCAAGCTTTTGCTATTCTCTAAAAACATTCCAAAACCCTAAGTTAGAACATGAGCAGAAGATTGAATGATTTTCAAATATTTGTGATCGAGCAGGCAGGGAGGGATGCAAATCCACTGCACCGTGCTGCTAAAGTGCTGATCGATGCTCAGATGGAGAATGGCGACTTTCCACAACAGGTGAGGAAAAATCCCCAATCCAACCGAGGAAACTCTCAACCACTAGAAGCAACGAATAAACACTTGAGAGTTGAGATCGATGAAATTCACACCCAGATTTGAAATTGAAGCATTAAACTCACCAAAATATATCCTGGTTTGAGTGAATTTCGTTGATCTTTGTAAGAAATCGTCGATGAAATTCACATCTAGATTCGAAATTGAAGCATTAAACTCACCAACATATATCCTGGGTTGAGTGAATTTGGTTCATCTTTGCAGGAAATCGTCGGCGTATTCAACAAGAACTGCACGATCAGCTACTCGGCTTACAGAAACATCTTCCCGATTTGGGCGCTCGGAGAATATCTCAACAAAGTGTTGCGAGGCTGAGAGAACAGAAGAACAGAATCGTTTCACAAGTCAATTCAAGTAATTAAAAGGAAGATAGAAAGATGAAAGTATTGTGCATTTGTGATTTGAGATATGGAAGAAATTTGACGTCAATGTGTGATTTGTGAACCAAACATGAAGGATTTGTTGAATTTGGTTGTATTTCTTATAATCCAAGGGTGTGTTTTGGTTACAGCGGCAACGATAGATTCGTCTCGTGTTTGTGTTTGTGTTTGTGTTTGACCCATTTATTGTCGTGTGTCGAGTTTGAATTGACTTATATTGATCTGTATATATAATTAAGTCGAAATTTTTAATTTAAATTAAATTATTTTTTATCGTGTTACGTTAGTTTTTATTGATTTAAACATAAATTAAAATGAATTATTTAAATTAAATTTAGTTTAAATTAATTTGTAAAAAAATTATTAAATTACGATTATTTTACCTATATAATAAATATATTAATCATATTAATATATTATAATCGATTGTTGTGTCGGATTCGAATTGAGAGCCACAATCCTAACCCGACCCGTTTATTATAGTATCGGGTTCATATCACCCTGTATACATATATCAAATTGTCGTGCATATCAGTTTTTGTCCGACTCTAGTTTTAGTTTAACTGTAATTTCAAACTGAAATAAATATTACTATCAAGTAAAATTATAGTACTATATCCACTCAACCTACAAGTTTTTTGGATATTTCATAGTAAAAGATACAAGAGCATTTGTTATAACCATAAGTTTTTTGAACTGCGATGATTCCTCTGTTTTAGCTTCTGTTCTCTCTGCCTCGCAACACTTTGTTGAGATATTCTCCGAGCGCCCAAATCGGGAAAATGTTTCTGTAAGCCGAGTAACTGATCGTGCAGGTCTTGTTGAACGCGCCGACATTTTCCTGCAAGGACCAACCAAATCCACTCAACGACCTAAGACGCACCACATCTTCAATTGAGATGTGCTTTGGTGAGTTCAATGCTTTAATTTCAAATCTGGATGTGAATTTCTTCGATCTCAAGTGTTTTGTCATTATTGCTTATTCTATTCACTCTAATGTCGAGAGTTTTCTCGATTGGATTGGGGATTTTCCCTCACCTGCTGTGGAAAGTCTCCGTTCTCCATTTGAGCATGGATCAACACTTTAGCAGCTCGGTGCAGCGGATTTGCATCCCTCTCTGCCTGATCCATCACAAATATTAGAAAATTATACAATATGTTGATCGTGTTCTATAATCTGTTTCTGTGCCGTCGAAATTAGGGTTTTTTTGTGGTTTAGGAATGTTTTTAGAGAATATAAAAAGCTTGAATCGAAAGTTATGAAACCAAATCAAATATGTGTTTAGTGAATGATTTCTAGAAGAACTTTTAATTTTAGTGTTGAACCAAATAATCTCGAAAAAATATTATGAACACACTTACTTGCCCTGCTTCGATGAGCGCCAACATTGCCCATCCAGTTTGCACAATGTGAGCTTTGCAGTTTGGCAAGTTTGTGTACACCTATTGCCATGAAATGAATCATTGTTGTGAGTTGAGCAATAGATTCGAGTGTCGAAAATTGTTTTTTACCTTATCTTGGCTCGAGAGGAAGCTCTCGCCCCATCCCCCGTTAGGGAGTTGCTTGGATAAAAGAAACTCACAAGCTTTTCGCACGTGGAAGCTGTTTCCAAACGTCTTCCCGCCTGCGATCAGCCCTTTTATCCCGAACCATGTCCCATAGGTGTAGCACACGCCCCACGATCCGTACCTAACCATTGTTTTCCAATGAACAACATAGTATCATAAGATTAAATTATAATGAGTTCGATATGTTTGTGCAGGATTTTTGGCGTACCATGAGCCGTCGGATAGTTGAATGCTTTCGATGAATTCGATAGCGTTCTTGATGCACACTGCAATATCCTTCATGCGATATCCCGGATGCAGCTTGTTGAATAGCCTCAAGCCTTGAATGGCTGCAGATGTGCACTCGACATACTGGTAGTCGATCATGATGTCCCCGAAAATCTCCACAGGATTGATCATCTGTCAATAGATTCATTCGAATACATCTCATCAATCAAAAGAGTTTAATTGCCGTGGTTTCTTGTGCTTTACCTCCAACCAAGCGTAGGATCTTGTGAGCTCGAACGACGCAAATCCTCCACTGCTATTCTATGGCAAATAAAAAGGATGTTGTCCGTTGAGGCTATCGCAGAAATGAATGTAACATTCAATTGTTACCTGAAACGACAAAAGCAAGTCGACTGCGTCGTGCAGCCTATCCAGTGGTAATGCTTTTCCGGCAATCTCGGTTGGCAACTGCGACAGAAGAAGCGCTGCCTGCAAACCTATGATTAAAACTTTCTATAGAGTTGAATTCTTGTGGGCTATCACAAAAAAGACTCGAACCTTGAGGCCTTCAGCCGTGCAGTCGGGGACAGCCCAGCCGTGGTCTGCTGTCGAAAAGGGCCATCCGCCTTTCGATCTGTGGCGATACCAAGAGCTCGGATTCCCAGTACTGTCCTCTTTGATCTTCACAGTAGAAACATGTTATGTTAACCCTAAGAACTTGATTTTTGTAGTTGATTGCGAATACTAACTTGTGATCTTTTGATGAAGTTATGAGCCCGTTCGATCACCGGGCCATATTTGTTTTGCAGATTAGTAGCGAGCATTGCTTGGACAGTTAAAACAACGTCCCACAGCTGAGTCCCGTTGTATCCTTGCATCTTCATGCCGTCTTCGGCCAGCCATAGATAGTCCTTTATTCTTGAAAGGTGTCGTTTTACCGATATGGAGTTCGCGTCGTCGATCCAACAACAGAGCATGTTGAGTAACTTGTAAGAGAAATCGTGTTAGCCACCGAGGTTGTTACAAAGGAAAGAAAAAGCTCGATGAAGTAACGTTACCTTGTTTACGGATCCTAGGCAAAGGTAGTTGGTGTTGACATCCTCGTACCGGATATGGTCCATCACCGTGCCTAGAGCTCGATCTCTAAGCTTTGAGAATGGCCGTCGCTTGAAAAGAGGTTCGCCAAATTCGTGCAAGCATTTCCAAAGGACGTCTTGTAAGCGCGAATGAGGGTAGCGTAAGTCCTCCTGTATGTCGAGAAGACTAAATCTTGGTCTCGTTTGAAACGAGTCGATCCTAAATATATATATATATGTGTGTGTGTATCTCTACATAAACCTACCTTGGAACATTGTGTTCTGGCCGAATCCCAATCGATCTTACGGTAAGGTTGAATATAGAGCTCTCTCCGGAGGGAGATCACGGTGGCATTGATCGGGGCTACGAATCTCTTACCGTATAAATACGACATCGGGAGGTACACGAGCCGGCTATGACACCACATACGACCTACAATCGTATAGTCACACAAAACAAATACGGTAGAATCATGGGTGTGTTTGGATTTTTGAATAGTAAAAATTTGAAGTTGAATAGTTATTCGATCTGATATAAATAGACGTTGATTTGATGCTTAAATGTAAAATAAATTTTTAGTATAATATAAAAAAATAATAATAATAATAATTGTTTAATTTGATATTTTTTAATAAAAAATAAAAAATAAAAAAAAATAAATGCACCTGGATGAATAGGAAGCATATAAGGGAGAAGCCACAACTCTGGAGGCAAAGGATTATTCCCGTCCCATTCGTACACGCCGAGCAGCTTTACTTGCGATAAAACAACATCCTTTCAAACAACATAGTCGATAAATCAACACAAACATAAAGCACGAGCGGCGATAAAATATATATACCGACCGAGAGCCAGCATTTTCCCCATGATGGGATATAAGTAGCGCCCCCGTGATCGAGAATCCATGATCTGGCTCGGCTCATAGCCCCGTCGATTTGTCCATCGACCTCTTCGCCTAGAAGCCTTAGTGCGACGTAATTTAGCACAGTACCGAACATGGTGCTATGTCCCTCGATGTGCAAGCCCCATCCGCCGTCTTCGTTCTATAGACTCATCGATTGAAAATCGATCGATCGATCTTAGAAAAAGTTATTCCGACGGCGATAAGTGGTTTATTACCTGATGATTGTATAGGTACCGGCGTATCTCCCGGCGACACTCCTCCGACAAGGTTGAGCTTAAACTATCCATTATAAATAATGCTATTATCTGCGGTACATTGATGTATATGTATATATATTTTGGAATATTCAAATGCAATTTTAACTATATATATATAAATTAGAGACAAGAGAATATGAAAAATTCTCAATTAAAATACAATTAAGAGAAAACAAATTAAAAATATATAGCAATGAATCGTTGTCCAACTTGATTTTAAATATATTTATGTGACATATGTTGGTAAAGTACAGGCTAATGGTGTAGGAATGGATTCTTGATTTCTAATTCTTGCAAAGATGTATGTTTTTTTAGAGTATATTATGAAAATAATTTATTATTTCATTACTTGTCTTTATTTTCTATAAATAAATAAATAATATTATTATTTAAAAATGTCATGATTTTTGTTCGAAACCATATGACTCGGCTTGTGTAGATATTTTCAAAAGTAGTAATTTTTTTATATCCTATTGCATCAATAATTATTTTTTCTCATCAAACATTGCATCAAATACTCAAACTTCTATTATTTCAAAATTTTTCAAATTTTCAAAACTTAATAAATTTATATGTTCATCGAATTAACCTTGCAATTCTTTTTTTCCAGAGAGTACTGATCAAAAGGCCAAATAGCATCGACAAAAAGTACAAATAGCACATTATCTGTGAAATAAGAATATGTGTTATTTGTCATATTTAAAATATGTGTTTTATAAAAGTATGTTGTATGTTCTTAATTCTTATATTGCATTTATATTATATTATAATATTACCATAAATGTAGCTTATATACATCAAATTTTGTTTTTCACTATTTACAATTTTTTTTTTTCAAAAATATTAAATCAAATATTTTTTTAAAAAAAATAAATTATTCAATTTTTATTTATATAAAATTAAACAATAATTCAAATTTATAATTTACTTTTCAAATCAAAAGTCAAAATAAAATCATCTGAACAAACGCGTCAATAGTAACTTACAAGAGGTGGTATGAGAAATAGAGGGCCAGCATAGTCACCCGGCCAATGTCCATCGTCAGCCTGGAGACTTGAGTAGAATCTCATGCCCTTTCTCAACACATTCACCACTCTTTCGTCGCCATCGCCATCGCCATCGCCGTCGCCGTCGTCGTCGCCGTTGCCGTTGCCGTCGTAACTTCGACCAGGATGCCAGAAAACCTCATTTTTTTCGGCAAACTGCAAGACACATATATACATACATATTATACATATAATTGTTGCGCTTCGATTACTGTACTGATTGGATCAAATTAATATATTGTTGATTTGACTCAATCAACAAATATTTATAAATAAAGTACATACAGTACATATTTTAATCATAAATTATATAATTACATGTGGGATAGATATACGTATTTATTCGGAAATAGTAATCTTTCATTTAATTTTGTATCAAAGGTTTGTCGTTAATTTCACAACATGTATATAATCACCACATGTTATAATTATATAGTTACGATACTCAATTTGTCCGTTACTTTTGCTTATTTTAATGTAAATTAAAAATAATGGTAAAAATATTTTAAACAAAAGTTTATAAAAAAAAAAATGTACTAGTTCCAGTGCCAAAAAAACAGTGTTATGTTTTTTAACACCAAAGTTAAATAATATTCATATTATTTTGACAGTGGATAAAAAATATGAGTAACATATATTTTTACTCTTACGATGCGCCCCGGCTGGATGCGGAACGGCGTGACATTTATATAATAATAATAAAATATAGGTGACTTTATGAAAATATCAATTTATTCATGTAGCATTTTTCAAAAGAACAATTTTCTATAAATATTATAACAAAAATATAAATATATATACATTAATATAATATACTCTGTCCGTTCCAAAAGAGTTTCTTATTTTTTTATTTTCATCCCTTTCAAAATAATTGTCATAATTTTTTTAAATCTTTAAAAAGAGTAAGGGTTTTTTAGTATTTTATATTCTATTTTATACTCATTTTCACTTAATACTATTATTTTTTAATTTTCGTGTGTGAAACATCTCTTTTAGAACAGAGTGAGAATATATTATCCACTCATAAAAAGTCAATTATTCAACAAAATATATTATTTTTTATATTACCAACACAACACAGTTACTTATTCCCCACACAAAAAAATCAATTTATCTAAAAAAAAAACTAGTGAACCAAAATTTCAAAATCAACTATTAAAGTGACCTGTATCCGCATGAGTAGATCGGAGCTTTGACGGATGCTACGGCGGCTGGCCTGGAAGTTCCGGCGGGCCTGCTCGACGGCGGCGTTGTGGCGGGGAGAGGGCGGCGTTGGGTGGAATTCCCAGAACTGCCTTCCGGCGTGGCGGTTGACGGTGGTCAGCCATCGATTGTGGCCGTCGTCTTCGTCGTCGGAAAACCTTAATTTCCACATGGTGACTGTGGAAGCTCAAACACGACTTCAGTTTAATAACGCTTTTATGAATGTAGGATAATATATATATATATATAGCAAAATAATTGGCAATGTTTATATTTATATGTAGGGTTCTCTTATCCAAACTTCATTCAATTTTTATTATTCATAATTAAAAATTTTCAAAAACATTAAATCAAATTTATTTTTTATTTTTTATTTTTTATATTATATTATATTAAAATTAAATTTACACCATATTTTTTATTTTTTATATTACATTAAAATTGAATTTCATCTATTTATATCACACAGTACAAATGTTTCAATTTAAAATTCTTACTGTTCAGATCTCAAATCAAAATTTAAACCCCCAAACAAACACACCTTTAGTATAACATCATTTTTTAATTAGACTTTTACAACAAATTACTGCTGCTACAATTAGTTTTACAAGATATATGTATATAAATATTTGTGTATTATTTTATAGATATACTCCCCTTTGTTCCATAGTAAATATTCTTTTTTTTAAAAAAAATATAGTATGAATAAAGTAGAAATAACTAAAAAATTCTTATTAGTACGTATGATATAAAGGTAATTCTTATTAGTATGTATGATATAAAGGTAATGACATTTGTGTAATATATTGTAAGTTGTAAGAATATTTGTAATGTTAAGTAAATAGTATAGTTACTAAAGAAAATAAAATTTATACTTTATTATGGAACGGACTAAAATGAAAAAATAAATACTTTGTTATTGGAGGAAGAAAGTATAATAAAATATAATAAACAATACTCCCTCCGTCCAGCTAGAAAGTATACATGTTTCTATTCTGGGACGTCCAATTACAAAGTAAACATTTCATTAAATACCTTACTTTTTTCCACAAATACCTCTACTTTACATCACATCATTACTTTTACACCAAAAAGCAAGGGCAAAAATATCATTACACTACTTTTAACTACCCACTATAATTAAAATACTATTATTTCTTAAACACCGCGCCAAAAGTAATTGTATACTTTTCTTGTGGACGGAGGGAGTATTAAATATTTTAGATTTTAAAAATCTCAATCACCGACACAATTAATTTATTTGTTTATTTGAGGAAGAGAAATCAAATTTAAAAATTAAATGATTTCTTTTTTTCTCTTTCTATTTTTTTCCAAATATGTAAAATATTGGATGATAAAACCGACAATATGTTTATTTATTACTGTTATTTTTGTATTGTTTAATTTTTGAGAATTTTATTTAAATTACACTATTTCTATATTATAAAAGATCGCATCTATTTTATAGTTTAAATATTTAATTTTTATATTTTTAAAATATATTAATATGTGCTTTAAAAATATCGTATCTAATTTATTATTTAAATAATCATCATTAATATTTTTTTTTTATGTATTCCCACTTACTACAATTCATCTGATTGATTCAAATTGCTGTATTTTTTTCTTAGTTAAATTATATATATTTTCCTGAATAAAAGAATTAACACTCCCTAAATTCATTTTTCCACGAAGTTCCTGTGTGTGAGTATGTGTGTGGGGATAAATAAAAATATTTATAAATTAAAAAAAAAATAATGGTTAAATAGTAACATTGTTAAACATCCTAAATTATACTTCTTCAGTCCACACATAAAATATACAATTACTTTTGACGTGGGTAGTTAAAAATAGTATAATAATATTTTTGCCCTTACTTTTTAGTATAAAAGTAATGATGTTATGTAAAGTATGGATATTTGTGGAAAAAAATAAAATATTTAATAAAATATTTACTTTGTAATTGACGTTCCAAAATAAAAATATATATGTTTTAACTGAACGGGAGAGTATTTTAAATAGGTGCAAGTTAGGGTGTGTTCTTCATAAAAAAATATATATATATATATGTATATATATACATATTATTCGATTAATATTAGTATAAATAATACTCCCTCCGTCTCAAACAAGGTGCAACATTTATTTTTTGCACGGGTTTTTAGGTGAGTAGTATTAAGTACGATAGTTTAAAAATTAGGTGATGTGATGAAGAGAGAAATATATATTTTATTTTTTTATTTGGATGATGTGAGGGGATAAAGTGTATGGTAGAGATTAAGTATAATTAATTATTTTCTATTTTAAAAATATTGCAAGGTGTTTAGAATATACTATAAAGGAAATGTTGCAGGTATTTGAGACGGAGGGAGTACAATATATATTCACACATATATTTAAATAAAATCTATAATATATATTATATTCATTCAAAAAATTAATAATTTAACATAAACTATTATTTTATATATTACTAACGTATTTTTTAATATTCAATATAAAAACACTTTAAACTAAAAGTACAAAACATATACTCAATTTAATGTGAAATATATCAAATTTTCGTACTTAAATACATACAAGATCAAATTTTTAAAAAAAAATAAACAAAAAAAAAATGATCACTTTTGATCCTTTTAATTACTATAATAACAAAATATTTTATACAATTTTAATAGTCTCTCCGTCCCACATAATTTGTCTATATTTTGTATTTTTGTCAGTACGACATAATTTATCTTTTTTGTTTTTGAAAATATAATTATATATTTTAATCTCATTTTAAATTTTATAATTTTTTTTATTTTAATTAAATTATTTAATTATGTTAATCTTAATTTACAATTATTTTTACGATACAATAATTATTTATATTAATATATTTCTTAATTATTTATTAATTACAATTTACCTAAATTATCGAATCTATTAAACAAACACACGTATGTATCAGAAGATATTAAAGGCGAGTAGGCGCTAATATTTTATGCTAACTCAAATTTCAAGTACCGATCCAACCACACAAACCTGGTCTGACGCTCACCCATAGGCCATAAATATAGGTGCCATAAATATTATAGGTGACACAATTAATAATTATTTTAGGGAAAATTATAAATATATATATATATATATTTTTGGTATATATACTCAGTTATTACATATATTTTTTTAATGGCACCCTAATAATATATATTATGTATGTGTTATAATTCTGCTATTGTATAATATTGACCGAGAAAAATATCGTATGTATATCTCACGATTTTGATAAAAATATCATGTATATATCACAAATTTGCTAAATATGCCCCTATACATATTTTATATTATCAAACCTCTAGTGCCTTCAAGTTTATCTATTACGCATGGTTCGTGTAGTGTAATTTGTCTTGTCGAACCTAGTTTGCAGAGTATTTGGTTCGATCGAGAAATTATTCGGAACATTCGACAAGTAGCGACTGCGAATTTTCACGTTATCAAAATATACATATATTGTGTTGCGTGTATTATTTTTTTATAGTTAATATAAAAAAATAATTGAATTTAAAAACACTTAACAAACACATTCTTTTATGTTTTGATCTATTGATATAAAATAAATAAATAAATAAATAAATTAGTATTAAATTTAAATCTAATATATTTATAAACTATTTTTATAATTATATTAATATATATGCACGGCCGTCTAGGATTTTTTTGGATCCTGAGCGAAAATAAATTATAGGTCATATAAACACATAAGTAGAATGTATTTTCAAAATAATATTACTGATTGACCTCAATTGGACAAGAAGTTGAACGAGACTGTTTGGACAATATCAATTTGAGAAAATAAGATGAAAGACGGTCTGTTTGGAAGTGCAAAAAGCGAGAATGACTAAGGAAAATGTGAAAGAGATAACAAAGAAGGTGAGACGGATTTGATTTGAGTTGGCGAATGCAATGCGCTAGAATGCGAGGTAAAGAAGTGTAGAGGATAATTAAATTTGAAGGCATGGTTAAAAAGAAAAAGATGAAAAATATATATATAATTTTAAAATTAAATAGAATAATTATGAAAAAAAATATATAAATTAAAAGTTAAATTTTATTTTTAAAATTTAACAATAATAATAATAATAATAGATAATATTTTAAAATATGATCTTCTATTAATTAGGGGTACTAACAGTTGCTAACTCTGCTCTTACTGCAAGCCGCCCATGTATATATAACCAAGGCACTGTCATTTTAATTTTGCCCCTAGTTATATAAAAAATCAAGAATGAGTCTAAATATGTTATTATTTTTCAGTTTTTATATTTAGAAAAAATAGCATAAAAATTTGAAATCTCTAGCATTATTTTATTTTATTTTTTTTCTTGTCAAGAAATGGAAGTAATTAATGATTGGAAGCAACAAAGATAAGTCCTATTATATAAGTTCTGAAAATTTGTAAAAACTGTACAAATAGAAGTATTTTGTGTGAATTTTTATAAGAAAAAATAAATATGGAGTTGATATATTTTTAAAAATTTACTAATGATAAACAATGTCAAAATTATGAATATATTTATTATTCTAATATTTATATATTTTTATTTTTGTCTTTCTATTCAAAATTTTATATATTTTTTAAAATAATTGATCATATCACTAACTCCTATTTTTTTTACACTAATCATTTTACCTTGACTTTATAATACACTATTTAAAAGTTAAAAAATAAAATAAAATAAAATTATACTATTATATTTATCCATTATTATTAAAATAGTAATGTTCTTTAATCTGCGTGAAAAAAATAAATGTAAATATTAGAGTTAGACGGAGATAGTATAATTATAATTATTAAAAATACGTAGAATTATTTAGTTCAGAGTATGGTATTAAAGATAGCCATGTTGGCAGTTTGGGACACTCAATCATCTTTACGAGTTATTCAACACGGCTGCATTCAAGACAACACGGACTTATCCTGTCCTTGTTAATTCCTATGAGACTAAAATTGATAAATTTTAATTTGAATTAAACTAAAATTGATATTTGTGATATACAATTGAGTCCAAAAAATTTTGTTCCATATAGTTTTCTTTACAAAAAATTCTCTAAAAATTTAGTTTTTACTTGTTGAAATATTTTATATATTCAATTTTATATTTAGTAGATTTATATTTAGATTTTGTCTTATTCATAAATTAGATTATTTAGATTTGAGTCTATCAAATCTGTTTGTATTGCCTATATATAGGCCTTTTATTTTGATCAATAAGATAATCTCATTATTTTTTCTCAAAATTTATATTTTTTTTCTTTTTTAAACAGTTGTATTGGAAGAAATATATATATATTATTGATTAAAGTAAATCGACATTTTACCTCCCAAAATTTTGCTGTAATTTTACTGTTGATTCTGTCGTTGTCTCTGACCCATTTAAATATGGGCGGCCCATACGGCAATTAGCCTGTGTTTGTTCATAAATTTAGATTTTTAATTGAGATTTAAATAGTAAAAATTTTGAAATAAAATAGCTATATGATGTGATATAAATAGTTGTTTATGCGATGTTTTGAATATAAAATTAATTTTTAAAATAATATAAAAAATACAAATAGATGTTTAATTTGATATTTTTTTAAAAAAATTAGATAAATAGTAAAATTTTTGCAAAATCTATCAAACAAACACATAAAACAAGTTAGAGATAATATTGAAAAATATATATTAATACAAAAAAAAATATATATAATATTAATAAATATATATAAATAAGAAAAAATAGGCATCATGCCCAAGAGATTTTTTTTTTTTTTTTTTCATTTTTTAAAAATATAATTTTGCTTATGTGAAATCTAGCGGGAGGAGGGAGGGAGATCTCTACCGTAGATTTCCATTGCGAATTGGATTAACAAGTCGCATCATCTTTGTTTATCTTATTTATACACTTCTAATTTTAAATATGCGATTGCTACAGTAATTTTATTTCAATTATAATTTTATTTTTTATTATTATTATTCAAATATTCAATTTTTTTTATTATTTTAAATAATTTTTTATTTTTATAATTTAATATATTTTTTAAAAAATTTAAAAAATAAAAAATAAATTTAAAATTTAAAATTTTAAAAATAATAAAAATAAGGAAGCAATACCAAAATTGAAGTTGCACTGTAGCAACGCAAAAAAAAAAAAAAAAGACACTGGATTTACAACTGACGCCAAATCATCCATGCATAAATTGTTTGATGTTCTACCGAATGACATTTGAATTTTGATAAGTAAATCATTTCGAGCTAAGAGTTAGGTTTCTCGACTTGTTCATCATTGTGCTTTTGAATTGTTTGGGACTAAGACCTAATAATTGAAAAAAAATAAAAATTGGATATCATACTCATTTTTTTGGTCAACATATAATTGTATTTAAAAGAGTATTAATGTATGATTATTTTTAATAATATATTGAAAAAATATTTTTAAATGAAACAGACAAAAAATCTATATGTTTGACTCTAAATGTCACATTTACTTTTTATATGTTAAATTTTGAATATTAATTATTATAACTAAACGTAGTTAAAATCAAGTGAAAAAAATAAAAAATACATATATTAGTGTTTTATAATATTAATATAATCATATTTATACAAAAAAAAAAATTACACAAATATAAAAATATTTTTAATATTAAACACAATGATAGAAAAAAATAAAAAAACATAACCTCTGATTAATAAAAAGATAATGGGACGAATAGAATACTCTCTTATACACCTATTTTGTTTTTCATTTTTTACCAAATTAAAAGATCAAACAAAAATATTGATCCCTCCGTCCCTTGGCAATCGTGTCCATTTTACCGTAGATACGAGAATTTAGGAGGAGTATAATTAGTAAATAATTAAAAATATATTAATAAAAATAATTTTAGATTAATATTAAAATAATTAATTAATCTCATTAATTTTTTTTAAAAAATTATAAATTAAAACAAAATGGACAGAATAAGTGTAATACACGAAAATGAAAACAATAAATATAACAGAGGAAGCATTTTCTAAATTTATATAAAAATATATATACACAATTATAAATTAAACATATTCAAAATCATCTCCAAAACATCAACAAAAAGCACATCCATAATTTTCCGTACACACACATATATATATATATACACATACAAAACGCTATTGGTGCGTAGATTTGTGGCCAAAACGAACGGCGTACCACCGCAGACGCAGATTCATACTTTAACCAACTTAGAAAAATAATCAAAAAGCTTCCCCAAAATAGCCGCCATGCCTTCACCTCCGCCTCCACCTCCACCGCCTCTCCTCTTCATCTCCGCCACTCCCCTCCCCTCTCCGCCGCCTACTTCCGCCGCAGGGCGCCGCCGCCGCCGCCGCGCCCGACCATGCCTCCCCACCTCCTCCTCCTCCTCCTCCTCCTCCTCAATAATCCTTTCCTTCTCTTTCCTTCCTCCGCCGACGATTCGGAGGCCCAAATCCTCCTCAAATTCAGCTCCTCCCTCTCCAACGCCGCCGCCCTCTCCGGCTGGAACGCCTCCTCCTCTCCGCCGTGCGACGGCGTCGCCGACGGCCCCAGCAGTTGGGCCGGCGTCCTCTGCGACCGCGGTAGGGTTTGGGGAATCAAATTGGAGAACATGGGGCTCGCCGGCGGCATCGACATGGACAGCCTCGCCAAATTGGAGAGCTTAAGAACTGTGAGCTTTATGGGGAACAATTTCGGCGGCGAAGTTCCAGAATTCGCGAAGCTTAGCGCTTTGAAGAGGGTGTATTTGTCTTACAATGGATTTTCCGGCGAGATCGGCGACCAGAATTTCGCCGGAATGGCGTCGTTGAAGAAGCTCTTCCTGTCGGCGAATCGGATCTCCGGCCCGATTCCTACGGGGCTGGCGGAGCTGCCGCGGCTGAGCGAGCTGATGTTAGATAGGAATCAGTTTGAGGGAGAAATTCCGAATTTCCCGTTGGAGAATTTGGTGGCGTTTAATGCTTCCGATAATAAATTGGGCGGCGAAATTCCCAAGACTCTCCGCCGCTTTCATGCTTCGTCGTTTTCTGGTTTGTCCCAATTACCCTCAAGTACAATTATATTTAACACAATTTTTTTTAAAAATGTCATAAAAAAAATAAATGAGTAAGGGTAAAAAGAAAGTTACATTATTCATCTTTCCCGTTCAACTATAAAATATAATATTTTTATTTTTAAACGTTTAATTATAAAGTAAATATTTTATTTTTTTATAAATATTTTTATTTTACATTATATTGTAGGACAAAATTGTCAATATATTTAACTATCCACTATATTTAAAATACTACTATTATTTTTTAAATACTAAAAATAAATATTTACTTTGCACGTAAACAGATGACATAAAAAATATTTACTTATAAAGTACTTTACTCATTTGTTAATAAAATATATTGATAAAAATAATTATGGTATAAAATAAATAATTACAAATTTAAAATATAATTATTTTTTAAAAAAAATAAATAAATTGAGCCGAATAAAAATACCAAAGAGAGTAGTAATGTTATAATTTCTAGATGGAAAATAAAAGTAAGATAAATATATATAATGAACAAAAATAGTTCTTCCTCTGTCTATTATAATTATGCCATATTTTTTTTTATATATTTATATAACGAAAATAGGATAATTATAGTGGATAAAAAATATTTTTTAAAAAAATATGTTTATATGAATGACACTAAAAAATATATTTCTTCCGCCACACCTAAATAATTTATGTTACACCTAAACTATACATTTCCATTTAGGGTGCGTTTGTTTGTGGATTGGATTTTCAATCTGCTATTCATTCCATTTTTTTCTCCTAAAAATATCAAATCAAACATATATTTTTTATTTTTTATATTATATTAAAAATTAATTTTACATTCAAAATATCATATCAACACCTATTTATATCACATCATACAACTGTTCAAATTCAAAAATTTTACTATTTCAATCCCAACTCAAAATTTTATAGTGTATATAATGTTCAATGAATTATGAACAAAAATTGTATAAATAATATAAAAATAATGAATGTATATAATATATTAATCGTTTTAAAAATAAAAAAGAATGCACATTTTTTTGCTATTTAACTTAATGCTGTCTAACATTTCATAAATTTTAATTATGAAATGATAAAATTATTTAAATTCATGTATAAATTTATTGAAAAAAGAAATAATAAAATTGGCATGATATTAACGTAATTTCAACACAACAAATTTAAATGAAAAATAATTATAAAATTAATTAAAGTTCAAATTTGTTCTTTGCTATAAAACAGGGAACAAAGATCTTTGTGGGACCCCTCTACCCTGCTGCGCCAAACACGGTCCAAAGCAATCCGTCGCAGCCATCATCGTCGCCGGAGTTCTCGTGGCGGCGGCCACGGCGGCGCTCGTCGCCGTAGTAGTAATCCTCCTCCGCCGCAAGAAAAATCCCTCCGGGCCGCCGGCAGGATCTCCGGCCCCCGCCGCAAAAATCCGACAAATTAACACCCCCACCCGCGACGTAGAAGAAGGCCAAACCTCTCCGTTAAAACGGCCGTCAAACGCGGCGCCGCCGCAGCCGCCGCCGTCGGAGCCGGCCAAGCCGGCCGTCAAGCTGACGTTCGTCCGCGACGACGGCGTCCGCTTCGACATGGCGGAGCTGCTCAAGGCGTCGGCTGAGGTCCTCGGCGGCGGCGCGTTCGGGTCGACTTACAAAGCCGCGCTGAGCCGGCCGGAGCGGTTCATGGTCGTCAAACGGTTCAAGCACATGAGCAACGTGAGCCGGGACGAGTTCACGGAGCACATGCGCCGGCTCGGCCAGCTCACCCACGGTCACGTGCTGCCGCTCGTGGCTTTCTATTATAGAAAAGAAGAGAAGCTTCTAGTAACCGAATACGCCGAGAATTTCAGCCTGGCCGTACAGCTCCACGGCAACCGCTCCCGCCGCATTCCTCCGCCGGACTGGCCGGCGCGGTTGAGCATCCTGAAAGGCGTCGCCGCCGCGCTCCAATACCTCTACGCCGCCCTGCCGAGCCTGACGGCGCCGCACGGCCACCTGAAATCGTCCAACGTTCTTCTCGACCGGAATTTCCGGCCGCTTCTGACGGACTACGGCCTGATTCCGGTAGTGAATCAGGAGGTGGCACCGGAGCACATGATCTCGTACAAGTCGCCGGAGTACAAGGACAGCCGTCGGATCTGCCGGAAAACAGATATCTGGAGTTTCGGGATTTTGATTCTGGAGACTCTGACGGGGCGGTTTCCGTCGAATCTTTTGCAGCCGGGCAGCCGGAACGACGTCGATCTGGCGACGTGGGCGGAGTCGGTGCTCCGGCGCGGCGGCGGCGGAGATGGTACGGAAGGGCTGTTTGATAAGGAAATGGAGGGGGCGGGTAATTCCGTGGGGGAAATGATGAAATTGTTGAAATTAGGGGTGAATTGCTGCCGGGCTGACGTGGACAATCGGCCGGACATTGTAGAAGTCGTCAGGACGATCGAGGAGATAAAGGAACGAGATTCTTTGTAGTTAATTAGGTTTCGAGAAGCTGATAATTAGTTGACGTAATTTGTGATTGATTAGACTAATTAATTAATTAGGTCTTGCAGAATGGATTGCTTCTATGCTGACTTAAAGGTTTTATTTATTTATTTATTATTATTATTGTTATTATTTTTTGATACCGTGTTTATTTTTTAATATTTTATGATATTTTAGGTGTCATTAGTATGCAACATATACAAACAACACGAACAATTTTATTTTACACAACACATGCAGTCTATAATAAAGACAGGTGTTATTAATTTATATTATAAATGTGTTATATAACAATATCGTAGTGGGTTGAAATAAAGTGTGTTGTATAAAAGATATAGCATGTGCTTTGTGTTCATGTGTTATATTTTTATTGTTGGTTCACAATTACAAATGTGTTATATAAGAGTATGCAGTGTGTTTAACTCAATTATTGCTTAAGATTATAATATGTATTATTAGTTCATATATTGTATTTGCATTATATGAATGCATAGAGTGTGTTGCTTGTAGTAATATTGTATGTTGCTATGTGCTTCTAGGGTAGTGCTTAATTTTAAAATTCAGTGTCGTAATTGTAGGAACTTATCAGGAATTTAACCCTAAGCACAGGATCTACCGTGTTGTCATAATTGAGATAAAAATAAAGCAAAATAAATCTAACCTTATTCCATTAGTATAGTCGAATACGAATATGCTAATAATTGAGGGTTTTGTGTTCTTCAAGCCTATGGCGCAACCCCTCTTGAGAAAACCGCTAGGGTTTCTACCGTTACTTATAAATTCACATATGAAGTATTCGTTGAAATAGAATTCGGCCCAAATTTGTTACGTTGACAAAGCTAAATTTAACCTAAAAAAACACCCTAGAGGGGTCATATTCATTAATTGTAAAATTTGTATGGGGCATTTTGAAACATCGAGCTTCTAAAGGGGTTCGCTTACGAATATGCAAAACTAAAGGGGTCAAACTGCTAATCAGCGGATTTTAACCATCAGTGCTTCTTCGGCTGCAAGAAACTGCATATATAATTCTTTTTCCCTCTTTCGGATTCTCCCCAGTAATTTGTTAAAAGGGATTCCTCGTGTTCTGTTCAATTCGCAGTGCGATCGCCATGGACGTGAGTTTAGGAGACCTCGATGCTCCACATTCGATGGGAACTACCATCATCGGCGTCACCTACGACGGCGGAGTTGTACTCGGAGCTGATTCTCGCACCAGCACTGGTAAATCCATCACCGAAGGGTTTTTATTCTCGAATTTCGCACTCAGATTGTGTTTTCGTTAATAGTTAGGGTTCGTTGATGTTACCAACGTCTGAAGAAGAGTCGATTTTGCAGGAGTGTATGTGGCGAATAGGGCATCGGATAAAATCACGGAGCTAACGGATAATGTCTACGTCTGCCGCTCTGGTTCGGTAAGATGCGCTTAGCTAACATCTCTTTTGGTGTATTTTATTGGACGGATTGTATTCGTTTGTTTGGTTGTTCGATTGGAGATAATTTTTGGTTAATGAAGTGAGGAATTGATTGAGCTACTAGTATAATTTTCATTTCTCATTTGTATATGCTCCTCTGCTTTGTCAGGCAGCAGATTCACAGATTGTTTCGGATTATGTTCGGTATTTTCTTCATCAGCACACGTAAGTTTGTATCTTCTGCTCTATGAATGGAGATTTAACACACATTACCAGTTGTTACATTTTTGTACATGATACTACCTCCAGATCTCGTTTGAATTTTCACACATATGAGAAATGATCTAGAATTACCAAAACCAGTAGAAGGCAGTAATAATAAAGTCAGACTCAGAATTTGAGACAATATTAATACTAAAGCTAAATCGTGAGACCTTTCCCCTTCTACTGTGCAGGATTGCAAATAATCCATTGAATTAATTTGTGGGAATAGAAGTTTTGAAAAAAATTGTGAATACTAAAAATTAAGTATTGAATATATTTTCTGAGAGGAAAGAGGTATTGAAAATGATTTTCTTTCTTTCTTTATTTTTTTTAAAGTTATTGTCGGTGAATAATGCTAAAAGTCCCAAAGTGTATGTAAACTGAGCCTACTATTCGGTTGTGCATATGAGGTGGCATTCTCTATTGCCGTTGATAGATTTGGAGTGTTGATCTTAGTAAATGTATATCACATCATAAGGCTCTGTTTACATAAAAGTTTTTGCAGTTTTAGAAAAATTTGTAAATAATAAATAATGGGGACTTGATATGATATTTTGTGAGGTGAAATAGGTATTTGATGCGAGTATTTTGAAAGAATTATTGTTGATAATTAGTGTCAAAACTTTCGAAAGTGTGTAAATCTCTGTGTATTGTATATCATTATACTGTGTCACAAACTTATGCACCTCATGGAATTTGATTCGTTTGCCTTGTGAATCATCAATTCTTTTAAAATCTTGTTTAGGTTTCTGTGGGTCTTCTATGGATTTAAGAATTAGGTATAATTGTATCTATCCCACACTAACTTTGGGGTCGTGTGTAGGATGTTACTCTGTTAAAACATACACAGTTTGAGAGATCTTAGCGGAGTGTAGAGTCGATCCACTTGCTTTTATGCTTTTATGGTTACAGAGGACACTTTAATTAAAATTTTCAATTTAGTTATGGTTTTATTTGTTTGCAGGATACAGCTTGGGCAGCCTTCAACAGTGAAAGTTGCGGCAAACCTTGTCCGATTACTAGCTTACAATAATAAGGTTTGTAACCACTTTCCCTGAAGCTACAAACTTATCATTTCATTTTGCTGTGCTTAAGTTTGACAGAGTAGTTTGTAATGGCAAAACGAAATGCATAGCCTCTTTTCATTATATGAATCTAAATCCGCCTTTTCGTCTCAAGACTTGTAATGTATATTGTTAAGATTTCTAATGCGGTTCTTGGAATGTACTTCATCCTAGTCTACTGAATTTTGCAGAATATGCTGCAAACTGGATTGATCGTTGGTGGATGGGATAAGTATGAAGGGGGTAAAATTTATGGAATACCACTAGGAGGCACAGTTCTAGACTTGCCTTTCACCATTGGAGGTGTGCCCTTATCGATCTTTTCATTTATTTTCCTTTTTTTCTTTTTGTCAGAGATTAACCCTTATTACATCTCAGGATCTGGCTCATCTTATTTATACGGTTTCTTCGATCAAGCGTGGAAGGAAGGGATGACTAAAGAAGAAGCTGAGGTTTGTGTTATGACTAATCTATATAAATATATATGATTTACTTCTGCAAAGTTTCCTGAGATGATGAATTTAGAGGAAGCAATGTCTTAAAAGTTCTCTTGGTAGTGCTAAATTTTCTTATTCCATTGATCCATCATCCCAGAAATTAGTGGTGAAGGCAGTTTCTCTTGCAATTGCTCGGGATGGTGCAAGTGGCGGTGTTGTTCGAACAGTCACTGTAAGTAATTTCTCTCCCGCCTTTAAAAAAAAAAGACACTTTTTGATTAATTCCTTCACCACTATCTTTGTAGGAAGCATTTTGAAGTACTAGCCCATATATCTATAATGTATAATCTGATAAATATTTCTCTTTTAGATCAACAAAGATGGAGTAACCAAACAGTTCTACCCGGGCGACACCCTTCCTCTGTGGCATGAAGAACTCGAGCCCCAGAATTCACTTCTGGATATCTTGTCGGCCGCCAGCCCCGAGCCTATGGTGAGCTAAACTAAACTAAGAATTGCATTCCCGACACAGTTGCGGTTTTCTAGGTGGGGTGGTTACTCACTAATTGTGCTGTTTTTTCTTATTCTTCGTTTTACAAGAACATGTAAACATACTTATTATTGTATTTGCTTTCTAAGAGTGATTCTATGAATGACATTTTATCAGAACTTCAATGGGCAATCCTGGTAATAGATAACTTGAGTTCTTTTATTTTATTTATTTACGACGTGAGAATCTACCATTATTATTATTACTTTTCAAATGCACACTGAATAAACTCCTATCCGAATACAATAACTTGAATACTATTCTAGCAAGATGAGTCACATTAAGCAAATTATATGAGTTTTGAAGATGTGATATCTTTGAATTTAATACAGACGTTTGTTGGTATTCTGAATTGAATTCAGTAATTCCATGGAGCTAAGGTTCAAAATATGGCATAAAGAAGCGTTGTTTCTCTCATTCTACCACCCAATTAATTTTGTTCCACTTAAATCTCATTTTCATATCCACGTATCTTTCTGGTTAAGGAATGACAAAATCTTTCTCATGTTCCATGAATCCAATTTTCTTTTAATCTCTTAACAATATCTTTCTCATTTGATCCAATAGCCTCCTTTTAGATAGGAACATAGTTGATAAATTGCTATTATTATAAGTCCGTCCACACACCACGCTGCTCAAGCCTATGTGGCAACAAGATCAAGAGGCCTCAACGGATCTTGAATCGTCAAACCCTTGTAGATCAAGCGCTGAGACATCGGGTTCTAGGTTCGATCCTGGGTGGGTGCGTGTGTGCATGTGTTGAGTGAAATTCCCGTCGGGGGGTGTGAGTGTGTGCGTGTGTGGGGTTAAAAAAAAAAAAAAAAAGGGATCTTGAATCCGTAACTTTGCGATTATAAGTTAAGTCCACCCTCCCGCCACCCCAATTCAGAGAATTCTTAACAGGATAGAATAATAACTAACCAAAGTGTATGACGTATTATGGTCTGTTATAATCATATTTACAGGCTACACTCACTCACTCACTCACTCACTCATTTCGTTGCATCGTCAAGAAGAGAAAAGAATCAGAAAATTTCAGAGAATCATCGTGGTAAGCAGCTAAAACCCTAAAAGCACTAATCATTTCAATTTCTCTATAATCACTACACTAAACTAGACGACGAGTTTCAAAGCTAAGTTAGAAAAGCCGTACAACTTACCTCTCAAAAGCCCTCATTATCAGAGCTGCTGCATGCTTGCTTTCCAAAATCTCCACTTAACTTATTTATGGAACCTCCTGAGCCGAGAGGATCTTTATGCACCGTACGCAGTTCACAAATTCCCTTAAGAACAACAACATAGACATATCAATTACTAGAGTAGTGAGTATAGTATAGCAGCAGCTAAGGCTGAATAATAATAAGAAGATGGATATGGAGATATATACTCCCAAGGATCGTCGCCGACGAGCAACACGTCGTTCTCGTGATCGAGATACACGAGCTTCCACCCAACCGCCTGCCGGTCCTCCAGCTGCCCTTCTATCCCAAATCGGCGCGCCAAATCTTGCTTCAGCTCATCGTAACCATTGTAACGGGTGATGTCGATCGATCTTCCCACAGCCCCGCGCTTGTACACCTGCAAGCGAGCAATCGACGACGACGATGATGATTATGATGATGCATTGGCGATTATGATTCTTTTTTGTTGTTTTATGTTGTAGAAATACGGTCGACCTTCGTATATGTCCGCCTCGGGAGCTGCGGTGGCGGCAGCACCCAACCACCTCTATTCATGAAGCTACCGTCGTTCATGGCTGAATCGATGGAATTGAAGGCCATGTCCGGAACTCCAAAGGACTGGGAGACCATTGACGATGATAGTTCCGGTTGAGCTTCCTTCCCGTTCTCGTACGGCGAAACCATTAGGTTCGCTGTTGAGAAGTCTTTACCCGATTCAACGATGTCCTTGGCGATCAACGGCTCGGGGATCATCTGCATTGCCAGCTGATTCTCGATGTTAGACGCGTAGGGGACAATATTCCTCGAATCGCCGCGAACCTCCACATCCAAGCTTGCTTCTCTAGACAATACCGACTGGCAGTTGAACAAAAACGAGTTGTTGTTCTGCAGCATCTGTCCATCGTTGTTGTGCGACAGAACTGACGTCGCCGAAGACGAACTATCCAAGTAGTCGACGTGGGCGCCGCCGACAGCGTTGAGATACGTCGGCATTGCGAAGAATCCGTGATTCTGACTCTTGGGTATGTTCAGAGCAGGCTTCACGGCAGATTTCTGCGAAGACGGAGGATCGATACCCGACGGCTGAGCGATCTCGTCTGTGTGGCTTCTTCCGGCCATTATAGACTGATCTGCATTCGGACAGTGGTTAGTCGTGGACGGCGATGTCGAACACGATGGGACGTCGTCTGTAACCGTAGACTGTCGACCATTTCCGGGTCCAGCTGAAGGCAGATTTGCGATTCCGGGTAAGGTTGTTACCGAATGTCCAGGCAGTTCCGGTAGCATTCCAGATCGGTACTGTTGTTGGTGAAGCTTTGATCGGGTGGGCGAATGGCCGAACCGGAGATTGGTATGCCCGTTGTTTTCTGCGATCACGCCGGGTGTTATCTGTTGGGAGTCATCCAAAACACTGCCATTTCCCGCTGACCTGGATAAGTTCGATGGAGGGTCAAACGGCTTCTTCTGCTGATCTTCGAGCTGCATTCCAGACGGCTGCGATAAGATCGGCTGCTGTTGTTGATGGAGCTTGTGTAGCGCCTGAATTTGGTTATCCGAAAAGTGCAGCTGCTGTTGGCCCGACTGATCGGCGTTCATCGCATTCTGATGCTGAATCTGCCCCGTCATTTGCCGATGCTGCTGCTGAGGAAGGTTCTGTTGTTGAGTATTTTGAACATACGCCGGAAAGGATGGACTTTGGCCTGACGCTAAATTCTGCCCGGAAATGTTGATCGGCTGCTGGAAAGAGGCTAAACTGTTCGTCGGAAGCTTCTGGAGCTGATCTAGCTGCGGCACTGATTGGCTTGGACATTGTACGGACAACTGGGGAACTTGAGCCCCCGAAAACCCGAATTGGCGAGGAATATCAGAGCCCGGAAGGTTCTGCAGAATAGAACCGGGAAGAGGATTCGCGAAGCTCGGGTGGATCGACATCGACTTAGCCATGGACGGGTTTTGCTGCTGCATGTTCATCCACTGGACCAGGCTCAGGCCAGGCATTGCTTGGGGATCTTTAATGCCAAATTCGTCACCAAGACACGGCATTGTTCTTCTAAATAGGCTGTCCATATCGGAGGAGTCATCGTCTGCAAGAAATATCGAAAAAGAGTATTATTTCAGCTCAAGTTTGGGCGAGTTGCAGAAATTTCAGGTGATCATGTGTTACCCAGCATTCCAGGTTGCCAGGGGCGCTTGGTACGGAAGAAAGGCGGGGTCGGGCAGATGAAAAATGGAGCAGTCACGGGTTCGATCTCCCAAATGGAGACACGGCTGCGCTTCTCGCCAGCAGTCGACTCGTCCCAACCGACCTGATGACACGAATTCGAGATCATGTGTTTTTGCTCTTGCAGCATATCGATTTCATTTCGACACAACTATGTCGAAAAAACAGGAGCTTTACCTGTAAGTTGCGCCATTGCGAGTTCTTCCATCTGACTGGATCCAAGTCGCTAATGCCGGTTATTGTACCCATGTATCTGCAAAATAATCCACCCCAGGTAAGGTGATCGCGGTTATGGAGAACTGTACATATGATATAGAGCTGTTAAACTAATCGAATAGCTTGCCAGCCATGACTCGAGCTCAACTTAAAAAATTATTATTATTGTAAACGAGCTGAGCTCGAACTGAGCTCACAAGTAGCTCAATAAAGCTAGCCTGTAATGATATATTTGTATTGTCTTATATATTAGTATAAATATATAAAAAGTATAAATATATAAATTTTTATGTCAAAACTTACATTTATTATCTTTCTTTAGCCCAATTTTCTCAAATTTTACTATTTGAACTCTACCTTTCTCAAAAAAAAAAAAAATATTTTTTTCTTCCACAAAATATTCCATCAAACATTATTTTAATATAAAACCCAAACCAATTTTTTCCAGACTCAACCAAAAGAAACACATCCTGAATATTTTATTATAATAAATTATGAATAATTTTTTATGTATTCTATATATTAAAATATATATATATAATATGTATGAAATTCGATTGGACTCAAACTCAGGCTCGAGTTCGTGCTTGAAATTGAGCCTAACGAACTAAGTTCAAGCCACCATTTTAGTTCGAATCTTAAATGAGCTGAGTCGAGTTTGTATCAATAGCATGTTCTAATTGAGCTCGAACAATAGATACTCGAGCTCGTTCGCCTCGTTTAAGAGCTCTACAATGTGACCTTTCTAACTCAACTTAGTAAAATAACACCGTAAAAGGCATTGCACCCACACACGCACATACGTACCTTCTCGTTCCAGATTCTTCAGTCTCGAACATCATGCGAAAGCGCATGCCGAGGGATATTTGGTTGCTGCAAACTGATCTGTAGTACTTAGCTAAAGGAATGACGAATTCCGATGGACTAGTCCTGCTTAGATTCAAACAACTAAAAAGTAAACACAAGAACTCTCCGAAAGTAGCAGAAATTCGTTAGATCGACAGACCTAGGATTGTAGAACACAGTGAAGGGGCTATTGTTAGCGGTGGCGTGGGCAGCTGCAGCGAGAACACCGATATGCATACTGTCACTGGACAGCACTGAAGATGATAAGTTAGGCGGTTGCCTGTTGGCTCGTCGCGTGCCTAATAGAAGCTGCTGCTTCTCGTCCCTGATTTCATCAGTGAGCCATCAGCAATCAATCTCATTGTTGTTTCGACTGGAAAAATCAGATTGCCCAACATTTTATTGAAAGATTACCTAATAAATAAGACGGAGTCGCCTGCAATAAGCCTCTTCCCGCTGACAAAGAGGCTCCATCCAGTCGTAAGCAAATGGCGCTTTGGTTGGCCTGAATTGGAATCATACAATAACTTTTATGTCGGCAGAACTATATTCAGATAGTGTTTTACTCGAAGAAGGATGAAAGTAACATACCCCGGTAAATATGACGAAATGTCCACACATTATTGTGCAAATCACGGGCACTGAGCTCTTGTGCCGGGGGCTGCAGTGTGAAGTCCTGAAAAATACGAGCATCCTCA